TATTAAGAGATTTTTCTCTAGAGCCGAGAGCTTTCTGACCCTCCATGGACAGCAACGCAACTGACACGTTCAAGGCCCAGAAAGGTAGTAAGGAAATTATTAAAATAGTCCGTGTGACATCAGTGGTTCAACCGTAATTCTATGAAGCTACGAGAATACTTTGTGCGCAAAGAAAACAAAATAAAGATTTTATTCAACAATTTCTTCTCAGTTCAGGAGAGTGCCATGCATGTGTGTGGTGCTACTGACGCAGGAGCCGGCGTTTTGATGTAGAACCCGGATGCGCTGTGCCTTGTTTTCAAGCAGAGGAATGCACACGCATGCTTCGTAGTACTGTCGTGAACGCGCATCGAGGTCTGACACGGAAGAGAAGAAATTGTTGAATAAAGTCATTATTTTTGTTTTCTTTGCACACAAAGTATTATCGTAGCTTCATAACATTACGGTTGAACCACTGATGTCACATGGACTATTTTAACAATGTCCTTTGACTATTATGTCCTTACTACCTTTTGGGGCCTTGAACGTGTCAGTTGCATTGCTGTCTATGCAGGGTCAGAAAGCTCTCGGATTTCATCAAAAATATCTTAATTTGTGTTCCGAAGATGAACGAAGGTCTTACGGGTTTGGAACGACATGAGGTGAGTCATTAATATCAGAATTTTGATTTTAGCAACCACCCAGACCACTTTATTCACCACGCCACACAGCGTATTACAACTTTATGCAGAAATATTACTTAAAATTACTCCGCACACATTTTGAATTTCTGATAATATTGATGATTGACAGGTGGAAGAGGCAGATGACTGGCTCCGCTATGGTAACCCATGGGAGAAAGCACGTCCAGAATATATGCGCCCTGTGCACTTTTATGGTAGGACAGAGCATCACCCAGATGGAGTGAAATGGGTGGATACTCAGGTATAGCATCATCCCAGTTCATAAAGCTGTATGTTTGTGTGTGTTAAATACTATATTCATAAACCTATTTATTTATTCTTTTTCTACAGGTTGTCTTAGCTTTGCCTTATGACACCCCTGTACCCGGATACAGAAACAACATTGTAAACACCATGAGGCTGTGGTCTGCCAAGGCCCCTTGCGAGTTCAACCTGAAAGACTGTGAGTACCAGCAAGAATTACTGTACAGTTACCGTACCGGACATATTGTCCGGTAGATTTTTGTGGCTGAAATCCAGTCATTCTAAAAGGAATTTATGGAAGCTTGTTTCTGCCACTGAATAAAAAAAAAGGTAATTGTGGCTTTTGTTGTGTGTTATAATTGTGTGATATAAACTTGCAATAGTGAGAAATAAAGTCAGAATTACGGGATATAGACTCACAATTCTGACTTCTTTTCGCAATTGGGGGGAAAAAAAATACTTTTCTTAAAATTGCGAGTTTATATCTCAGAATTCTGACTTTATAACTCACAATTGTCACAAATGTCAGTAAGTCAGAATTACAAGATGTAAACTCTAAAATGTTTTGTAATATGCAATTGTGAATTTATATCACTTTATACCTCACAATTGCAAGTTTATATCATGCAATTCTGAGAAAAAAGTCAGAATTGTGAGATAAAAAGTGGCATTTATCTTTTTTATTTTTTATTCAGTGGTGGAAACAAGCTACCATAAGAATCCGGGTGTGAGGGCACCTTTTTGCCTGCAAAATTTAGCAATGTGACTGCACCTTGACCAGCTTAAACATTCAAGATGGTATCTGACTCGCATGTTCTCCTCCCTTCCGCAGTTAATGTCGGTGGCTACATTCAGGCCGTGCTGGACAGGAACCTGGCAGAGAACATCTCTCGTGTGCTCTACCCCAATGACAACGTCAGTAAACACACAACTGATCCTCAATTTAAATGAATAGTTCATCCGTAAATGGATATTTGGTGAATATTTACTTAACATTATGTCATCCCACATGAAAAAATACTATAGCAATTTATAGTAAATACTATAATGTTTTTGAACCATACTATAATAAAGCACTTGAATTAATTTGTTGTGGTAATTCTATAGTTGCTGTGGTAATATAACAACTATATTATATAAACAAATTACTTTACCCAACTACAACTACGAAAACTTAGGCTTTCAAGCTGTAAAAAAGGACACATCAAAAAACATAGCATTCAAAAAATCTCTCGGTCAACTACTCCTTTAAGGACAGCCATAGTTTCATCACATGGTTTTTACATACCTGCCTGAAGCTTTCGGTCCCTGTCGTCTTGTAGTTTTTTGAGGGTAAGGAGCTCAGATTGAAGCAGGAGTACTTTGTAGTGGCTGCGACTCTCCAAGACATCATCCGCCGCTTCAAGGCCTCCAAGTTCGGCTCCAGGGATATCGTGCGCACAGACTTCAGCACTCTGCCTGACAAGGTTGGCATATCTAAATATCTTCTAAAGTCTCACTGAAAGATGTTTGTCTTGAAGTTGAAGGATGTAGGTGTCACAGCTCTGCTCTTTGACATTACTCTCTTTTTGTTTGGCTGCTTTCAGGTGGCCATTCAGCTGAACGACACTCACCCTGCATTAGCTATCCCGGAGCTGATGAGAGTGCTGGTTGACGAAGAGAAACTACCATGGGACAAGGTCCGACTGTAAACATTATATAATTGAATCATTCCTTTATTTAGTTATATATAGCACTGAATGACTCGTAACACTAGAGGGCGACAGAGTACAAAGAAGCTCAGTCTCAAAAATCATTCTGAACATCATTACATTCACAGTTTTTTGTTTTGTTATGCTTTACATTATTTGTGTTAAAGTGTTAAAAATCTGAAGTTGCTCTTAAAGGAATAGTTCACCCCAAAATTACAATTTTCCCATCATTTACTCACCCTCATATCGTTCCAAACCTGTATACGTTTCTTTCTTGTTGAACACAAAAGTAGATATTTTGAAGAACAAAACAGTTGTTGGCCATCATTGACTTCCATAGTGGGGGAAAAATACTATGGAAGTCAATGGGGGCCATCAACTGCATTCTTCAAAATATCTTCTTTCATGTTCAACATAAAGAAATTCATACAGTTTTGGAACGACATGAGGGTAAGTAAATGAGGACAAAATTTTCATTTTGGGGTAAACTATTCCTTCAATACAAATGAAGTCTACTGGATAAGTTGTAAGGCAAACTGTGTTGATGTCCTCACTCTCTGCAGGCATGGGACATCTGTATCAAGACCTGCGCCTACACCAATCACACTGTGCTGCCTGAGGCTCTGGAACGCTGGCCTATCGACCTCTTCCAGACCCTGCTGCCACGGCACCTCGAGATCATCTACGAAATAAATCGCCGCCATGTGGAGGTCCGACTTCAACAGAGCACAAAACTAGAACTCATTTTTACACTGAAAATTGTGGTCAAGATTTGGCTGATTTGATGCAGGCAAAAGCATGTTTCTTTAATAGCCATCCAAAAGTATCTTATATATATATATATATACACACTACCGTTCAAAAGTTTGGGATCAGTAAGGTTTTTAATATTTTTTACCGAAGTTTCTTGTGCTCATCGAGGCTCAAAAAAACCCTATTATTTTGTGAAATATTATTGCAATTTAAAATAACACTTTCTATTTTAATATACTTTAAAATATAATTTATTCCTGTGATGCAATGCAGAATTTTCAGCATCATTACTCCAGTCTTCAGTGTCACATGATCCTTCAGAAATCATTCTAATATGCTGATTTATTATC